AACTAACTGAACTGTCTTTTTCTTATCTGGAAGAGATATTCATGGCAGAAAACTGTCCTGTGGGAAAGGGCTCTGGCAGATAATCTTATTAGTACATGTAGAATCTGTTCGGTCTTCTGAGAGACAACTGTGATTCACAGTAATAATACTTAATCTCCATTTTTTAAATCTTAATTCCAGATTCATTGTTAGGTTCTTTGCTCCTCTGGCTTAACTACAGCCGAATCACTGTAACCTCCCCTTCGTTGGTTTGTAATTCACTGCCAGTTCAGGTCTGAATTGATGTCGGCATATTTTCTGCACTCTAGTACGACCTGTCAGATTTTCCTCAACAAGCCTAGTTCTGCTAAACAAGATTTTCTTTCAGCCAGTTTCTTCAGTGTCCTGAATTTTGAACAATACAGGCGTGAGTTATATAAAGCATTGCTGCTGAGTATATTTCCCCAAATCCTGTTTAATCCCTGAAATGTCTATAGCAACCCTAGAATGTTTGCCCTGCCAGCTTTATTTCTGGATGCATCAGGTCCTTAGGGTTACAGACTTATTCTAGATATTCTCCATGAATAGCATTTCTACAAATTAACATCTTCTTACATTGTAAGAGGTTGAAACCATGTGAAGATTCTATTTGAGTGCAATTCAGAGGCTCTTTCTAAATAGGCAACAGTATATTGAGTGGGTTGTTATCTGTATTAATCTGTCTGGGAGAGCTGACTGAATCAGAAATCATTTCAGTGCTTACCTGAGAGTGAAACCAAGTTTTTGTGAAGAAGATAAACTGAGATATAACTAAGGTGCTTTGATACAAATGGAAGGACTCCTCCACACCTTTAGTTGCATTAGTTGCAGGCAAGGAGGAATTCAGCAGATGTCAGTTGCATGACAATAAGCTGCAAAAGGCAGCAAAGATTGTTCAACATTTGGGAAAGTTTGTGTCTTGGAATACAGGTTGCAGAATCCCTCAGCTAGTAAGGGCTGTGCTTTTGGGGGGAATCCGAGTAACTGTATTCCCCAAAAGACTGTTTTATTTCTGGCCACCCTAAGTAGAAAAACACACAGCATACCAATTTGTTGAGTCTTGGTATTGAATTAGAACTAAATCAAAACTCTTTGCAAAATGCATCTTTCAAAACATAAAAGAAAATGTACGTATTATTTTAAATATAGAAGTAGAAAAGGAAAGCACATTTATAAATCTGACAGCAAACTTCTTGCCTCCAGGAATGAATTATAATTGAGAGCAGCAGGGTAATTGCTTCAGGGATTCTGTGTAGAAAGCTGATTTGCTGAGTCATATCAGCTCCTGAACCTGAATTACTTTTTTGGACGTATTTCTGCTTGACTCACAGATTATCATAGAATGTTAAGTCATGCATGTGATTGCTGGCTTTCTGAAAGTGTGTGTCTATTTGTTGTTAGAGATACTTAAAGGGAGACCACACTGATGTATTTTTTTTCTGTAATACTTTGGTTTCCATTCATTATGTCATCCTCAACCACTTTGTTTTCATTTCTTATCAATAATATAAAGATATTCCCCCACTTTTATGTATTTATTTAGTTTATAGTATTGAAGAAAGAATTTGGAATATGAAATTTAAACTTGTATTCTTTGAAGAGGCTTCCAACTCAAAACGGGTTCTAAAATGAAACGCCAGCACAGTTAATTTGTGCCCTTTTGCTATTTTTGTCAAGCATGGTCATCCTCATTAAAATATATCTCTATAAATAGATCAGCAATGAAATTGAAGCATTAACAGAAGGGATTGTTACCAGCATGGTTTTTTTATCTGGTATGAGATTTGTCCACAGTCTTTTCATGTACTAAATGTCAGTCTGTGAGATAATCTTCTGCTTGTAGCCATAATGAAACAGACAGGCAAAAATCTATTAAAGATACACTCATAGACATCTTGCATATGCAAGCAGTATTGTAGTTATTCTGAATAAATGAGTATGGGCATGGCCCAGCCAAACCAAAGTATTTTTAAGCCCCATTGGTTCCAATGGATGAGCTAAGTCAGCGTTGAAATCTCTCCCCCTAAAACCAAGAGGACTTTAAATCTTTGGCTAGATGGTGCCATGAGTGTTTTCCATCTACCTTAGCTGGGAAGCCATATACAAAATAGGCCATGGCTCTCACCCCTTCCATAACTGTGTAGAAGAGGGAATTGTAGCAGTTGTAGTTTGCAAGAGAATTGTACAGCTCACAAGAAGAAGAAGAAGAAGAAATGGTGTTTGGCATCTCTTTCTGAAGGTGAGAAATCTCATGTCAGCTGGGGAAACATTGACAGGCTGTCTTACCTTCCCAAGACAGCCTCTTTCAACACCTTCTCTTCCCCAAACTCCAACACTCTTGTTCACTAGAAAAGATTGCTTAAGGTGCTGTCACTTGAAATCCAACAACATGTAGAAAACTATAAACTTCCCATGCCAGTTTTTATGATGTGGCTACTCCACAAATAATTTAGTTAAGAAACATTTGATTGTATTATTTGATAGAGCCATTATTAAATAATTAGTGGAACTAACAACTTATACAGTGGTGCCTCGCAAGACGATTTTAATTCGTTCCATGGAAATCACTGTCTTGCGAAAACATCGTCTTGTGAAACCCAGTTCCCCATTGGAATGCATTGAAATCTATTTAATGCGTTCCAGTTGGGGGGGGGGAATCACTATCTTGCAAAAATTATCCAGAGAAGACATCGTCTTGCAAAACTCAGTTCCCTGTACCATCTTGGGGAAAAGCAATCCCCTCACCTGCACTGCCTTTGGAAATTCAAGGGGTCTCAGATGGCCTTACCCCTCTTTCTCTCTCCAGCAATAAAGAAAGAGGATAAAAGAAGTCAAAACAGCCCCCTGGCTCCTGACAATGGTAACTCCATTTGCCCTGATCCTTTACTACAAAGAAAAAAAAAAGAGAAAATATAAAACATCATCAGGACTTGCTTCCTTTGCAATAGGTCCTGATGAGAAGAAAAAGAGATGAAATTTAGAAAAAAAAGGTTAATCATAAGTGCAATCTCCCATTAACACATATTATGCAGATGAGTTCCCCACATTTGGGGAAACCACAGGGATCAGCAGCACACCCAAAATACAATGGATGAGCCTCCTCCTGGGAAAACCACTTTTATGACATGGTATTTTCCCTGCAAGGTACGAGTTAGAATGGCCCTTGCCTCTCCTACCCCATTCTGTCCCCTAACCCTCCAAGGCATGGTGACCCCCTGGCTGCACCTCCCACTCAGTACAGGGCTGCACAGCTCCAGTCCTGCCCTAGGCCAAGAGAGCTCCTCAGTGTTTGGGGGTGCCCTGTGGGACCCCCATCAGGGGCTAGGTGTTCCTCCCACAATCCTCTAGTGCACAGGTATTAGCACAAAGTAGCTAGGTGTTCTGCCCACAATTAGCATAAGGTATTATCCCAAAAAAGTGGGGGAGAAAGTGTATGTTGGTGTTCTTCCAGGAGACAGACCGTGGAAAGCCAGCAGCATACACTTTCTCTCCCACTTTTTTGGGACAAAAAAGTAGGTTTTATGTAATTAATGTATTCCAATGGGGGGGGGGAACTGTCTTGCAAGGCAAGTGCCTAAACATTGTCTAGCGAAAATTGCCCATAGGAACAATCGTTTTGGGAAGCATAACATTGCTCAAAAAAAGTCATCTAGCGAATTCGTTTTGCGAGGCAATCGTCTTACGAGGCACCACTGTATATGGATTAGAAACACCACCGCCCCAGACATTCTTTCTCTCCTTTCACCCATGTACCTACCTTGCTGCTCTTTCTCATGGAGCTAAGCGCTCAGATACAACAATATATGATGAGGATTTGGGTAATTATTTAATTGGGGCAGTTGAATCTTGTCACAATTTTTGGATGTTCTCCTTTCCATCTCATTACACGGCAATGGGTACATCAAGTTGAGGAAATTGTTATTATTCCAGTTTTCCATAGGATATGATATGCATACAGATTGAAAGGATAGGGAGTTAAAATGCATCCTTGTCTGACACCATTCTGTTTCTCCACATTCTGTCCTAACAGTAACCTCTGGTCCATAATAAGGATAATCAAGTGTTGAGGCACGCCCATTTCTTTTAGAACAATCCATAGCTCCCCTTGATCCACCCAATCAAAAGCTTTGCTGTAGTCTATAAAGCATGGGCTGATCTTCTGAAATGATTTGGTATATTCCAGTAGCCAATACATATTTGTGATACAATCTCTAGTGCTTATTCTTTTTTGGAATCTAGCTTCATTGTCAGGCATTTCTTGCACCATATAGGATAAAAGTCTGTAACACTTTAAGCATCACTTTACTTACATGGGAAATTAATGCAGTTGTCCTATAGTTATTCTATTGGCATCTCCTTTTTTGGAGAATTGAAAAATATATCGAAAGTTTCTAGTATATGGATCATTGTTTTATTTTCCAGATTTGTTGGCATATTCTTGTTTCCACAGATTCAATCTCTGGAGTCTGGAATAATTATACAGTGGTGCCTCGCTTAACGAGCGCACCGTTTAACGAAGAATCTGTATAGCGATCCCTTTTTGGGGATCGCTATACGGATCTGCCCCAATCGCCGCACTCGCTTTGCGACGATTGGGGCGTCCGGCGGCCATTTTGGAGCCGCTGATCGGCGGCTCCAAAATGGCCGCCGCATGACCCGAAATGGCCCCTATCAGTGTTTTCGCGCCCTCCCCTTGCTTACGGAGGTCGCGAAAACGCTGCGGGGGGGCATTTCGGGCCATCCGCAGCCATTTTGGAGCCGCCAATCAGCTGATTGGCGGCTCCAAAATGGCCACCGGACGCGAAAACATCACTGGAGGGGGAAGTTTGGACGCTTATTGGAACGCATTAAACTAAGTTTAATGCGTTCCAATAGGCTTTCCTTACCCGCACAGCGATGTTTTCGTATAGCGAAGGTTAATCCGGAACGGATTAACCTCGCTATACGGGGCACCACTGTATAGGTACTCCATAATACCCGTGGTGATTTATTTATTCCCAGTGCTTTCAGAACACTTCCACTTCACTTTCTAAACTTTTATCTTTTGTCTAGCTGGGCTAGGTTTCTGGAGTCTCAGAAGTCACTTAACCTGATCATTTTAATTAGAGATGCTAGGAGATGCTAGATGCTAGGACCTTAATTAACACACAGCATGTACTGACTACTTAGCCGCAACCCTACCCTGCTTCTAGTACTTTTGGCTTGGACTGGGTTTGCCTGGCTCCTCCTCTTTGCTCACACAGAAACATTTTTGGAACAAAATCATGTTCTAGAATTGTAGAAAAACTAACTTGAATCTTCTGTTAAATCTTGTACATAACAGGGCTTTTTAAAAAGTAGTAATACATAGTGTTGCATGAAAAAAGTGCAAGCAATGAATGACTGATCATCAGAAGAGGAAAACATTAGAAAATAATTCCCTGTTCCCCATTAACTTTAACATTTCAGCAGAACCCAATGCTTGCCCTGGAAACTGCACTAATATAGCCAACAAACTTTGTTCAAAGTTTTGTTATACAGTATCTTGTGCAACAGAATGCATAAATCCTTGCTAATAAATAAACATTAAAGTTTCATCTCTCCAGATACAATTTTTTCATGCAGTTCTTTGGTTAATAAAACATAAGACTTTTTCGGATTGTCCAAAAAATAAAGTGGATCACTGATTGCAGTTGGATTAAATCCTTCCCCCACCATCTTAAATTTCTGTTGCTTGAATGTTCCTGTAACTTCTATTACTTCCTGCAGATAAAGAAAAAAAGGTATTTTATTTGTTTGTAGTTAAAAAAATCAAGCACATAGAAAGTCAGACTATTAATTACAATTGACTAGGAATTGTGTACTGTCATAATGTAAGTCCTTTCCTTGATTATTAATTTCCATAGGTGAAAGGATTTCACCATATTTCCCCCACCTTGGCTGCCTTACACTGGCTACCTATCTGCTTCCGCATTGATTTCAAGGTGCTAACCATTACATATAAAGCCCTTAACGGTTTAGGACCTCGATACCTGGCAGAGCACCTTCTTCCGCCCAGTTCTACCCATATCACTTGCTCCAGTCAGGTCGGGTGGCTGAGGGGCCTAACGCCAAGAGAGGCCTGGTGGGAAAAAACTAGAAATCGGGCCTTCTTGGCAGTGGTCTCTTGCCTTTGGAACAACTTACTTGTAGAGATCCAGCTGGCTCCCTCACCGAGGGCCTTCAAGACTAGCTTGAAGACATGGCTATACAGGCAGGCCTTCCCTACAGCCATTACCTAGCCTATCTCCCCTTTTCTTTTCTCTCTCTCTCCTTCTCCTCTTTCTTCTTTTTCCTTTTCCCATCTTGGACTAATCTGGATTTTATCTTAGTTTATTTTTATATTATATAAACCGCCCAGAGTAGACACTTTCTAGATGTAGACACTTTCTAGACACTTTCTAATAAATAAATTAAAAAATTAACTCAGTACCAAACTGGACAAGTTGTTGACCTTGTATGTAACAGCTATGCTCCTTCAAGAAAAAAAAAAGACTGATTGTAAAAGCACTACTAAGAGCAAAAATGTGATAGTTTATTAGAATGTGAATACTGGCTTGGTTTACAGAGCTGAATGTGTAGAAATCTGCATACAAATCAAATAAGATAGTGTATTGGAGGGAAAACCATTGCAAACACATACTTCCAGGCTGATTTGTTTTTCTTTTCAGCTTTTATCATGTGCCCTAGTCAGATATGTGCTGCCAGTTCAATTTCAATTAGAGTATCTTGGGAGTTTACTTCTTTTAGGTGTCATAGGCCATAGCTACACACCCAGAAGAAACTGAGTGGAACGTGAAGCGGCTTTCATAGCTTCACAGAATGCAAGCCCTAGTGCAGTTTAAAATGTGCACCACTGCAAGCCACAGTAGGGCTTCCTCTGTGGTCAGATGGGGCAAGAGACCCTTCCCCCCCCCCTCTGCAGGGCATGCTTATCTAGTGAGTAGCTGGACAGCAGCTAGTGTGGCAGCAGTGCTAGCTGTGACATCTTCAGCAGCCAGGCAAACGCCCCTAACTGCTGCTACTGCTGCCACCTTCTATCGGAGTTCGATTGAGAGCATATTATCCTACTGTCTCTGTGTATGGTTCACGAGCTGCACGGTGGCAGAGAAAAAGGCAATTCAAAGGGTGATTAAGACGGCCCAAAACATCATTGGCTGTTCACTCCTGCCCCCAACTGCTGCTACTGCTGCCAACATATGTCCTGGCTGCTGCCGCTGTCACCATTCAGTCACTCGCCAGACAAGCAAGCCCTGTGAAGGAGGAAGGGCTGCTACTGCTGTCACCATTCAGTTACTCACCAGACAAGCAAGCCCTGTGAAGGAGGAAGAGATTTTTTGCCGCAGCCCACTGTAGAGGAAGCCCTGTCACTCCACCTATCACCTGAAAATAGGAGTCTCTTGCCCTGGCCTTCTACCCAGGTGGCAGTGGGGTAGGCTGGTGTGTTTGTGTGCACTTGCACATCCTTGGTTTAAATGCAAGAATTCCATTAAAACAGGGGGTGTGTATTTTAAGCCAGTTCACCCCACTGGCTTATAAGGTACAGTAAAGCTTCTGCTGTAGATTATAGTAAACGTGTAGGTTAGGCCGTAGAATCAACCATGTGATATAGTGACATTGTTACCTGTTCAGAGCGCCTTTCCCCGAGAACATCAACCCACACCACCAGATCCTCCTTGACATTGTTACCTGTTCAGAGCACCTTTCCCCAAGAACATCAACCCACACCACCAGATCCTCCAGGCCATATTCCTATGGATTGCCACACTGAGGAAGGCCAGAAGGACTTCTACCAGAACTCAAGACTTCTCAGTTGTGGCACCATCTCTTTGGAATGGACTTCCAGTTGAGCTGTGCCTGGCTTCCTCCCTCTCCACCTTTAAGGGACTCCTGAAGATGATGTTCTTCACCAGAGCTTTCCAGGGCATCTCTTCATGATGACTGCCTAATTGTGTTTGCCTGTCCATCCAGTATGTATTATCTGATATTCATTGATTGAGTTGCTTTATGTTTATTGATTTTATATTTCCTTCATGTTTCCTTTCTTATTGTTACATTATATTATTTATTGTTAACTGCTCAGTGAAGTGCCTTGCACTAATTGAGTGGTATAGGAGTCCAATCAATCAGTCAATAATAACCACGGAATTCTGACAGTTTCTTATAAAAAATCATGAGGTAGCATTTGTCAAGAGCAGCTATTAAAGACATCCAAATCTGCTCTGATTGAATTTTTATTCTGCAAAACTGATTTTGGAAACAGATGAAAATAAAAACCATTTTCCAGAAATGCTGAATAATCTACCCAGCAGAGTGTTTTTTGAAACTCCAAAATAAGTTTTCTCTGACTCATAGAAGCATCACAGAAACTGATGATGGAAACATCCAATTAGTTATTAGGCTGTCCTCTCTGCAGAGACAAAATTTTTCATAAAAATCTTGCTTTGCCTGACATAAAAGTATTCCATGCAAGCCGGTAAAAACAAGGAAATGTAGTCATATAAGCCCTTTTCATGATTCTATTTTTAATCTCACTCTTATCCACAATACTTCTTTGGGAAATATATAAATATACAGTGGTGCCTCGCAAGACGAACGCCTCGCCAGATGAAAAACCCGTAAGACGAAAGCGTTTTGCGATAGTGTTGGTGACTTGCAAGATGGCTTCTTCTATGACCGTGCTTTGCAAGATGATTTTTTTTTCACAAGACCAATGCCTCGCAAGATGAAAATAATTATTTCGTCTTGTGAGGTTTCCCATAGGAATGCATTGCAATGCATTCCTATGGGAAACTGCTTTTCGCAAGATGAAAATTTCGCAAGACGGCGCTACTCGCGGAATGAATTACTTTGGTCTTGCGAGACAGCAGGAGGAGGACAGAGCTCTGTCCACTGGGCTGAATTCTGACCTGTTTGGGACACCCCAGGGTGTTGAAACCACCATTGGGGGGGGAAGCCTGTTGATCATGGGGGGGGCAGTCATCCCTGTTTGATCCAGGAAACTCCCTAATCAGCCAATGGGCAGAAACAAGCATACTTCATTATACCAATCTTCTAATATCATTTTTTTTCTTTCCAAAATCTAGTGGAAAGGTGGGGTAAAAATGAAGTGAATAAATAAGTAAGTAAATGAATAAATAAGTAAGTAAATGGTAAGGAAACACTTAATTGCAAGGGACAGATGAGAAGCAAAAGTAAAAGGTGACAATTAGGGTCAGAACCCTGAATGCAATTTTTCAGTGATTGTCTTGTAGAGATAAAGAGAATTACTACAACAACCAATGCAAAGAAATAGAGAACAACAAAAGAAAGACTGGAAATGCTCAGTAAACAGCCCAATCCCTAAGAAAGGATATGCTAAGGAGTGTGGTAACTATGGACCATTGCTTTAATTTCCCATGCAAGCCAAGTGATATTCAAGGTGTTGCAACAAAGGCTTTCAAAGAAATGCCTGATGTTCAAGCTGGGTTCCAAAAAGGAAGAGGAGACTGTGTTGCACATATCTGCTGACTACTGGAGCAAACCAGAATTTCAGAAGAAGATCAGTCTATGGGTTATAGACTAGAACAAAACCTTTAGCTGTATAGATCATGGGTTGTTCTGAAAGAAAATGGTGTGCCTCGGCACTTGATTGTCCTGATGCACAACTCGTATTGTGGACAAGAACCAATAAGACAGAATATGGAGAGATAGAATGGTTTCCTATAGGCAAAGGTGTCAGACAAGGGTGGTTTTTGTCCTCTTACATGTTCAATATATACACAAAACATATCATACAGACAGACTCAATTCAGAGGAGTGAAACTGGTGGAAGAAACATCAATAATTTAAGTTATGCAGATGACCTCATCTTTTTGACAGAAAGCAGCAAAATGGCTTGTAGTGAAAGTGAAAGAACAAAGTGCCAAAGCAAAACTGCAGTTTAACATTAAGATGGTAAAAATTATGACTACAGAAGGACTGCACATCTTTAGCATTAACAATGAAGAAACTGAATTAGAGATTTTGTATACCTTGGTTCAATCATCAATCCAAACGGAGACTGCAGCAAAGAAATCAGAGAACATTGAAACTAGGAATGACAGCAATAAGGAAATTAGGAAAGATAATCAAGCATATGGATGTGTCACAGGAGACCAACCAATCCACACACTTGGACTGTATTTCCAATCACCATGTGTGGGTGTGAAAGCTAGACATTAAAGAAACCTTACAGGGGGAAAAAAACAATTTGAAATGTAGTGCAGATACCCTGGACTCAGAAAGATGAGCAAGAGGGCCCTAGTGCAAACCCTAAGTCTGAACTATCTGTGGAGGAAAAAAGATTGAGTATAAAGCTATCCTACTTTGGGCACTTTGTGAGAAGTCAGAATTCTCTAGAAAAGACAATGCTGGGGAAAGTGGAAGGCAGCAGGAAAAAAAGATGAAGTGAGTCCCTAAATGAGGCCTTGAGTTTACAAGAGCTGAGCAGGGCAGTTGATGACTAGGACCTTTTGGAGATCACTCATTGATAGGGTTGCCATGAGTCAGAGCTTACTTGATGACACATAAAAACAACATAATCAAGGTTACTGGCTGACATAGGAGTATTCATTCAAAGGAGGCAAAATGTATTTTAGACATTTCTGGTCCTACTCCTGAAACAGAATCCAGCATTACAAACACCACTGTACAACTGACCTTGCTTTTCAAGGCAACATAACACTCAAATGTAATTTCTGTTTGTTTTGTCTAATGATGTCCATTCTAGATATAGCATCCATATATTCTAACATTATTTCTTTTGGTACCCTGAATATCATGCTGTTATTCCCAGTCCATTTTTCTAATCTCTCTAATCCCTTTATAATATCTTCCCTGGTGTACACAACTCTTTTAATTCAGTATAATCTGTAGTTTTCATTAGAATGTTGTATAATTCCAGCTCATTAACGTAGACAGAAAGCAGGACTAAAAGTACTCCTGATCTCTGAAATATCTATTTAGAGATCTCCCTCTGAAGTCATCACTTAATTTTCAGTATATATAGCTTTAACAGTGCACTGAGCTGATTTTCTGCTTGCAATTAAGGGTCCTGAATACATGTCTACAATGCGCATGTTACCTGGAGTCTTAAAAAAAGTGGACAGGCATAGCTGGGGAGATATGTTGCCATGTGTTCATAAAGTTGTTTCAGATCTAAGGACCTTTGGGGCTTTAAGATAACAGAGGCCATTCCTGCTTTGCCTTCATAACCTGTGGAAAAAATATTACAGTATTAATGTTATAACTCTTAATATTCATATATGTCAAACTATCAAGAGTGATTTATTCATTGATTCTACTATTTTAAATGAGTGCAACATATTATTGTTATTTCCAGTATATGAAAAAACATTAATATAACAACTACCACTGTTTTCTGAGTCATTGTTTAGCTTAACCATTAACAGGTGTAGATCATTTAAATCCTTAACTATCATAATGAAGTGTACCTCAACTGGAAATGGACCCAAACAGTAACCATGCATACTGTCTTCTTTTCTCACTTTTACCTTGGAAGTGCTTCTAGATGAGGAGCAGCAAATGTCTACTGCAAGGAAGGAAAGATCCCAACATGCTTAATGAGGCAGTAGTAAGATCACTGTTGAAAAAAACCCTCCTTGGATCCCATTGTATTGGATAATTACCTGCCAGTTTCTAATGTTCCATTCTTGGACAAGGCTCTAGAGTGGGTTGTGGCTTTTCAGCTCCAGAGGTTCCTGGATGAAATGGATTATTTAGACCCTTTTCAATCTGGCTTCAGGCCTGGCTATGGGACAAAGACTGATTTGGTAGCCTTAGTGGACTACCTATGCCAGGAACTGGACAAGAGGAGTGTGTCCCTCTTGGTTCTGCTGGCCTTTCAACAGCTTTCAATACCATTGACCATGGTATCCTTCTGGGCTGTCTCCTGGAATGGGACTTGGAGACACTGTATTACAATGACTCCAGTCCTTCCTGGAGGGGAGAACTCAGAAGGTGGTGCTGGGGGACTCCTGTTTACCACTCTGACCGTTGACGTGTGGTATCCCTCAGGGTTCTGCTTTGTCTCCTATGCTATTTAACATCTACATGAAAATGCTAGGAGAGTTGGTCTGGAGTTTTGGGGTGTCACCAGTATGTAGACAACACCCAACTCTATCTCTCCTTTCCATCTAAATCCGAGGAAGCTATTTCAGTTCTAGATCAATGTCTGGTCAGTAATGGACTGGACGAGGGTGAATAAACTGGTCAGTCAAAAGCCATATCAAGGAATAGTGAGTCAGCCTGTGCTGGATAGGGTTGTGCTCCCTCTGAAAACACAGGTGCACATCTTGGGGATGCTCTGGATTCATCTCTGAGCCTGGGTGCCCAGTCTGTGGCACTGGCCAGAAGTGCCTTTGCACAGTTAATATTAGTGTGCCAGTTCTTTGAGAGGTCTGACCTGGCCATGGTGACACATGCCTTAGTTATATCTTGGCAGATTACTATAATGTGCTCTACATTGGGCTGCCTTTGAAAAGTGTTCAGAAACTCTAGGGGTTCCAAAATGCCACACCCAGATTGATAGCTGAGCCTAGTTTATAGGGAACATAAAACTCCCCTGTTACAGCAGCTCCACTGGCTGACAATTGGTTTCTGGGCACAATTCAAAGTGCTGGTTTTAAGCTATAAAGCCATAAATAGCTTGGGTCCAAACTATCTAAGACAGCTTATTTTCCTTATGAGCCTGCCTGGCTATTAGGATCATCAGGACAGGCCTTTCTCTTGGTTCCAGCACCCTCATCGGTGTGTTTGGTGGGGACATGGGAGAGGGCCTTCTCTGTCGCTGCTCCAAGACTCTGGAACTCCCTCTCAAGGGAGGCCAAGGTGGTCCCATCTTTGCTGTCCTTCCACAAGCAAAAATCTTTCTCTTCAGGCAGGTTTTCCTTTAAATGACTGGTAGACTAAGGGGATTTTTTAAAAGGGATCATTTTATTCTGTGTTTACTTGTGTTTTTACTATTGCTCACATTACGAGTTGTAATGTTTAATGCTAGTTTAATATTGTAATAATTTATTATTTAGCTTTTAACTTTGTTTCTTTTAATACAGTAAGCCATCTTGTATCTTTTAGGAGAAAGACAGCATATAAATATTTTAAATAAATTAATACTGTATACTGTATTAAGAAAATCTGGATTACTTTCTTAAGAAATTAATTTTAAGAATGCCATTTACATTAAACATATAGTTCAGAACACAAGAAGAAGTGCACACCATAGGCAAAAGTGAATGAGAAAACAAACAATGACAGAATTGAATAAACGGTACTGCTTTCTCATGTTTGCCTTTGATTTTGAATATTCTGGGTGAGTGCTCCCGTTGGAGTGGCAAAGTAGCAACGTAGACTAACAAAAGTAGAAAAATTGACACAACTGCCCTGAAGTCCAAATAAAATGAAAGAAATCCATGATTAGAACTGTAGTACTTTTACACTGGAGAGCTTAGAAAGTTATTCTTGGAAAGAACCAATACAATTATCATCTTATTACAAACAACATCATCATATCATTCTTAAAAGTAACTCCAAACTCTGATTTTACAATCTTCCCCAAATTTGCTATCAGCTCTAAAGGGAGGGACACAAATAGCATTTTAAAATATCTATTCTCATGAGCTTTTACATGCTGAGGACTGATAAACATAGGGACTATTCTTCCACAAGTCAGATACCAGTGGCGTGGTCATTTTAAGCAGAAAAAAGTAGATCTACTTTCTTAGAATGCTACAGCCCCAGTCTAATACAAGTGTCCTTTAAAATGGTAGATCATAGTAGCATATCTTCCTCATTAGGTTGTGTTTGGATTACAGCTGGTAAGCACCTTGGGGCTAAGAGCCTGTCTACATTGTTTGTACTATTGCGATTGCAATAATGACATCGCATAGATTGATAATGATGAAACAGATTTTTTAAAAGTTAAAACAAGTTACACTCTGAAAACTACAGTGGATCGCATCAGATTTAGCAAAGAGAGGGGAAAATCTACCAATCTCGTGGCCTGGTACAAAGAAGTGACATCTTTTTAAACAAATACGAAGTTTCTCAAAAAATTAGTGAATTTCCTCATCAGCATGCTATGTAATATACAGGAGAAAATCAAGAAACATCTCTTAGATTTCAGACTACCTCTGTACTGAAAATGGTGTTAAACTCCGTTTAATGCATTCCTATTGGGGAAAAACTCACCACTATGCGGGGAATCCTCCAGCTGCCATTTTCACCACCCGGTAAGCAAGGGCAGGGTGTGAAAACGCTACGGGCGGCCAATTTGTTGACCCAGCGGCCATTTTGGAACTGCCAATCAGCTGTTTGTAAAACATCGCAATGCGAAGATTGGTAAGCAAAACGCTTACCAATCATCGCAATGCAATGTTTTCCCTATCTAAAACATCGCAATGCGATTGCATTAGCAATTGCAAAAAGGCGTTGCTATGCAGATTCGTCATTAAACGGTGCACTCGTTAAGCGAGGCACCACTGTACTATAATTTCTAGCTAGGAAACTGGGTTAGAATATGCTACCTGTTTGGTGCTTCGTGGCTTCTATTTATTGTAGGATTTTTGAACAAGTATTTTATTCTGCATGTTAAGACAGTTGAAATTAAGATGGGCTGGGACAGACTATATTATTTCCATTTTAGCAGCTATTGGCTTATTCCTCTTGTTTTAAATAACGGCTGTGGTCCACTGTGTCACATTGTGTGTAGAAGAGACATTTCATTTATGAATAGGCCTCTCTTTTTTTGAAAGAATTATTTCTCACCCCATACGCTTTATGGCTGCAATTCTATATGCACTTCCTTGTGAACAGACCCCGATGAACTCAATAACAATATAAAAAGGAGCACTTTTTTCTTACCTTGCACAGAAACCCCATAAACACTAGCTTCTTTTATGAAATCCAACATACCAAGGACATCAGAAACTTCAGTAGTAGACACATTTTCCCCTTTCCATCTGAAATGAAATATATTTAAACATATATGCATGGTACCTTGTGAAAGCTTTAAAATACTAGTTTTAATTTTCAATTGAGTATAGAAAAATATCTAGCTCACAATTTTTAAAGAGAGCATTCTCTACAAAACAGACATTTTTCTTCTGCTGGGATCTGACTGCATTTACGTGTAAAGAGAAGTGATAGTACAGTACAGTATATGGTTACATTAATAAGTCACAGACCCAGGCAAGTTCTCCTCTTTCTTTCTCTTCACTGTGGAGAGTCTTGGAAGTATTTGCTTCAGACTTGAATGACCTACAGTTTAGCATCACTTCCAAACTTCCTTATTGTTTATCTATGGTTTATTGAAACAATCACGCTTCATAGACCAATGTTTAAAGTTGATTTCCTTCACCAAGCCACAGTTAAAGGTATCCACCATCTGTTTGAAATTGTGGAATAAAAACAGTAAATCAGGAAGGAAGGAGGAAGGAAGGAAGGAAGGAAGGAAGAGCTGTGCCAGGAGGTAGAAAGCAGGACCACACAGAAACTGATTTTCTCATAAAATAAGCCTCTGTCATTGTGCCCATATAAAGCCTTGGAGCTAAAGATTTTAAAGCATACAATTCACAAAGGTACCTTATGAATGTAAGTTGCTTTTTAAAGGAAATTTAATTGGCAAACATTAAATGTGCAAAGCACATTCCCCGAGACAGGGGAAAAATCAGTATCTGGTCAGCAGCTTGTCAGGAAAAGAACCATATCAAAACTAAGTCTTTGAATTCAGTGGATAGAAAGGAAAAGTGAACATAAACAATTGTATTTTTCTGCTTCATAAATATATTGGCAAGACAAATTATTTAAGTGCTGTTATTGGTTATACCTGAAAGTATCCCCTGTTCTGTCCCAGAAGTAAAGAAAGTTATTTTGATCTTGAACCATCAGATCACCCGTATTGAAATAAATATCTTCCTTCTTAAACACAGCACGCAGTAACTTCTTCTCCGTGTCCCTCTTATTCCCAGCATAGCCAAAGAATGGATTCTTTGAGTTCACTTTGGATAGTAAAAGCCCAGGCTCACCTAAAGTATAAAATTGTGTAAAAACAAACAAGCTCATAAAAACAATTTATCTTGATGTAATTTGCATTATTCTAGCCGATATGTTTAAAGCACAGGAAAAGAGAGGCCCATTTTTTTTGTTTTCATGTTCTTTTGCTGATTTATGAAATGGAGTATCTAAAACATGAATGATATGTATTGATGAAAGAAGAATATACAAAAGATTCATATCATTTTGTGTTTCCCTTTTTCATTTCAACCTTTCTTCCTTTCATAAAGAAATAAAGCAAAGGGAAGAAGGGAAATCTCCTGAGACATAACGTTGTTTATTCCTCTGTGGTAAAAACAAAACAAAACACAAACCAAAAGTGATATAAAGAAATCGATTGCCCAAAATACCTGGCATTTGAAGTTTCAGATACCAAGTTCCACATCTTTAGATTTTCTGTTAAATGGTTTTTTAAAAGCTGTAAGGAACTTTGATATTTCCAAACTCAAATAAATTCCTACCCATAAATGAATGAAGCAATGAAATGAAGACTTTCATTCTTTGTAGTATTAATCAAAATAAATTTAAAGATTCGATGCAGTACAGTATCATTATTTGGAACTACCACACCCAAAGCGAGAAGAGGCACAAGGAGATCCAGCTCTGTCAGGAAGAGAACAAAAAGTACCAACAGTAATCTTTGGCTACTATACCAGCTTTCCAGTTTCACTTGGCATAGACACCCTGCAAAGCTCACTAGCCAGGATATGATGAAGAAGGAGAAAAGCTAGCAGAAGAGCTGTTTGTCAATTCAAAATAATCGACATGGCCACTTATGACATTTCTTTCCATTCCTTTAATGTATGAATCAAAGCTCCTGTTCTGAATTACACAGATGGTTTCACATTTATCATCAAATAACATCTGAAGTTTCTCAATGGATGTAATAATCTTAAATTGGGATCACGCAAGGTTTTAATGGGTCACATTCAAGTTTCCCTTGAGCGCATGACTCCACTCCTCTCTGCACCGCTTTTCATCTCTGTGCACCCACAGTGATTGTTTTCAGCCCTTTGGTTCTGTTCACAAGGGAACTCTGTGGGGGGGGGCAGAGTCGCACATGTTCAGGGGCAAATTAGAGGTAATGTTGGTCTCACTGCTACTTTTCACTCATTCTTGGATAATAGATTCCAGTCCTCTCTTCTTTATTCTACTCTTTACATTCAAATGTAGTTTATTTAAGGTGGTGTTTTTTTTTTGTCTGCAACTCTTTAATATATAAAGGTCACTGGAATGAAAACTTTCAAGCCTATACCAAAAATAGAATAGATCTGCAGGCTAAAGACATTTTCATATATTAAAAGAATTAATCATCTCGACCTGTTCTGCCAGTTTAAGGTCAGAGTGTCATAATCAATCTAGGAGCACCAAACAGTAAGATTTACTTCAACTTTGAAATCTGATCTCCCTCCCCTACAAGAGTTAATTTCCTGGAGGCAATCAAAACTGAATGGTCCTTGTGAGCTACACCAAATTTCTCTTTACCTTGATTGTCAGGCAGATGATAAAACTGTGTGACAACACATTTAGACTCTAAAGCTTATCACTCACTCAGAGGCCTAAACCAGAATTCTAAGAATAGCCTAGTTGGATGTTTACAAGTTATCAGGATATTGCCAAAATTAAGTTTAGACCAAACCAAATAATGCGGCTGGCAATCCACAAAGGTGTATGGTAAATAAAATGTTACGGTGACTGCAGACTCTTTGCCCTTTTTTTCACTATGGTTGTAGCACTTGGGTAACAATATTACAATACTTATGTGGCTGTCTGCATATAAACTAGCCCTTGGTTAGAAAAAAATTCTCTTTTTCACATTTTCCTCAGTAACCATAGTACTAAAAACATCCATGTTACAACATTAAACCTAAAATGCAAATATGTGAGTGAAACAGCTTGATTTTGAGACCTCAACCCTTACAGTAGGGGCCAGGGTGATTTCTCTCATACCAGTAAAGAACAGAGATTCAGCCTGCTCTCTGAGAAACCACAGTCCCCTCCATTTTTATGGTCTTATCTACAGTTTAGGACACAGAAGACAACATTTCTAAACTATGGATCCCTTCCTTTCTTGGTACCTATCTCTGGGCATGGCTATACCAGCATCAAGGAGTGAGCTAGTGTGGGCTACTTGGGAATTGTCAGGTTTGATTAGCTGACTGTTTATATAGAAATAACTCTTCCCAATATCATAAAGTGACTTAATAAGTGAGCCACTTCAGGATATAGGCAAATGAATCACTTCATTTGACAGAGAGCAGGGGAAGTGCATTTTTTTTACTGTATATAGACTATTTCTGATGCACTGCAGCAGTTACATTAAAAAAAGAGGTTTGTGTGTTTTTTTGCCTTCTCTTATAGGGCCGATCAAGAAATTAGCCTTCTGCTAAGCAGGGAGAGTGATTTATTGCCAGTATTCTGAAGAGGCTTGCTTATTAAGTCAGTTCACAATATTGCCAAATTGAAAGAGGAAGGCTTGCTTTGGATCAATTCCAGTGATCACGTGCAACAGAACTGATCAAACAAGTGTTCCTACCTACATCAGAAAAGTAGAACCCCTTTGAACAGGGGCCAGAAAGGTTGGGTAGGAATGCTCTGAGGATAGGCTGGTGTGCTCGAGCAAAGACAGCATCTGATTGCCATCTTTAAGAGCACATCAGCCCCTCCCTGCAGCGCTCCAAACAACAGGTTACACAGCATGTATAGTCAGCATCTATGTTTTCATGGCTTATTATGAACATACTCAAATCTGATGTATTAATCACTTTTACTGATTTAATCATTCTTCGTATTATCTGTAATGTCCAATAAGATTATGAATAACCTACAGTTTCAATAAAACTGATCTGAATTATAAACAGATCCCCCTTACTTCCTTTCATTTTAGCATCAACCATATTTCTAGAATATCAAAATACAGAACAATGTTCTTGTAAAACTCTTACCTTTCTTAACTCTTTCACACCATCCATATTTATTTCTAATGGGCTCTCCTTTTTGAAAATCATATTTAATCAAATCAAAAGGGAAGAAGAGCTAAAAATAGAAAGAAAAATGCTTGTCATGTTTATAAAGCGACATCTGGTGGTATCACTCAGTAATGCACATTAAATGAGTGATGTTTTTATCAATATTTTTGCATTAATTGCAAACTGAACACAGATGAAAAAATGTTTTATTAAAATTTATCAAGAATCTAAGCATATTTTTTGTAAATATAGAAGAGGGAACAAATCTAATTTTAATGGCTAATGGTGATATGGAAAATAATTTAATCCTTTGGACACATCTGGCTGTAATTTTACATTACAGAATTGAAAATAGTTACATAATTAAACAAAACAATATTTAAATTTCAGGGCTTTCTTAGAAGTCAAATTGTGAAATTCAACAGTGTTAAAAGAACATGGCATTAACCACAGAAGAAAATGCCACAGTTTATAGTGACTACAGAACAATGAACTTAATAAGCCAGTTGTTTAAGATTTTCTTTAAAATAATATCTGGCGGATTTTAGAAATATGAAGAAGGAGGCAGAGGTGCACAGCTAGGTTTTGAAGCTAAGGGATACTAGTTTGCCTAGATGTGTTTGGGGAGAGGTGTCTTGACATAAATGTAGATAGGTATCCTTGTAGTATTGATAACGAGAAACGTGTGGCAAAAATCTAATATGAAAAGCTGATGAAATTGTTGATAAACAAAAGTATGAATTCTCCCCAGGAAAGGAGAAACACTATATGAAATGCAGGAATGGACAGTTATAGTATTTCCCCGTGGGCAGGGGCGAGGGAAACAAGTGATCCGGCAAGATCCAGTCTTCAATTTATCACTCCAGGAGAAGATTGGACACAACATCCCTGTTGTGGGACGGTGTGTTCGATAAGCTCCCCATTATGCCGGATCACAGATAAGGAGCGCTTTGGTCCAGCCCAACAGTAGAAGAAGAGAGTGGATCTTCAAGAAAGACACTGTTCTCTTGTTATGGTCTGTTACCTGACTTAACATGTTTTGACCCAGTTATAATTAATGAAGAAGTTGTGCAAATTAATAAAGCAAGAATTATCGAAACGTTAGATAGGCCTCTGCTTCTTCTTCCTGCCAAAATGGAGGAACTGTCATGAGGTTTCTAAACATTGCAATGCGAAGATTGGTAAGCGAAACCCTTACCGATCATCGCAATGCGATGTTTAGCCTATCTAAACATTGCAATGCGATTGCATTAGCGATCGCAAAAAACGTGTCGCTATGAGGATTCGTCGTTAAACGGTGCGCTCATTAAGTGAGGCACCACTGTATTGTGGATAAAGGAAATCCACTGGGGGCAGTGAGGGAAAGAAAAGACTGAACCCTTTGTGAAGACACAACACATAGGTGCATCAAAGGAGTGAATGTTACAATTGGTGTCAGCTGGTGGGATGACATAGCGTGAGCTCTTTGGTGAAACAAGCAGGGGCCACGTGGTAAACATCACAGATAAGTATATGGATGAAGAGATAATGTATATCTTGCTACTGGTCAGAATTGTGCTGCCTGGAATTGAAATGCTTAAGTGCTTTTTGAAATCAGAAAGCTTCTCCCTTCTGGAGACTGAATTGCCTGTTTCTCCCCTCCTACTTTCCATTCCAGTAAGATCATTTTGTCAGCATTATTACTTCCTTGTGAATCTTCCTGCAGTGAATAAATGCATTTAGGAGATCAGATAATGTAATATTTACAGCAAGTAACATTAAACCTGACTCACCAGACACAAAGGCACAAAAACCTTCAAACTGTTTATTTATTAAATGGTAAGGCTATGCCTGCACATTGTTGTAAAAGCTTTGGTCCATCTGCTTTTAGAAATAGCTATAATTCAGAATCCAAATTACTATTTACACCTGCATAAGCACAACAAAGCAACCTGGTGTATAGTTACTAATTAACAAATCTCCTACTGAACTCCCAGTAATGCACCAGTTGTATGATGCAGCACATGCCTAGGATTTCAAGTGGGGACTCATTAACTAGAGTTGCTCCAGGTTAAGTGTTTGGACTTAAGTAAAGGTTCCCTTGACAATTTTTTGTCCAGTTGTGTTCGACTCTAGGGGGCGGTGCTCATCCCCGTTTCCAAGCCATAGAGCCAGCGTTTTGTCCGAAGACAATCTTCCGTGGTCACATGGTCAGTGCGACTTAGACGCGGAAAGCTGTTACCTTCCCACCGAGGTGGTCCCTATTTATCTACTTGCATTTGCATGCTTTCGAACTGCTAAGTTGGCAGGAGCTGGGACAAGCGATGGGAGCTCACTCCGTTGCGTGGATTCAATGTTACAGCTAAAGATCTACAGAACGTATAGCACAGAGGCTTCTGCAGTTTAACCCGCAGCACCACCACATCCCTTCTGGAGCTTCTCCATGTTTAAGTGAAATGACTTGGATTTCTGCTTATGTGTTAAATTATCCAGCAACAGTTTGGTGCCGTTCATTAGGCAGGGGATTTTCAAATGTTTGTCCCACTTACATTCGTTGAGCACCTACATTTATAAATAACTTCCACTGCTGTATTAGAACTTAATAGCTCTTCCAAAGTCCAAACGCGTAAGTTTGGACTTAACACAAGCATAAATATTCAATTGGATTTTGACTAATATTCTGGCAGTTGTACCTTGTCATTATCCTCCTCTCTCTCAGAAGAAGTTCTTCCCTGGTGGAGGATACATGTGGGTTGTGTGATGTGTAGGATCAGGTGGAGAAGTCTCTGACAAATGATCATGACCTTCAGATGATAGCACAACATTTTTTGGAAGAACTGAAAGCATACAATAGCCTGAGAGGAGGAGAGTAATTCTTCATAACCATGGTTATTATTCTCAAGGTTAGGAAGAAGAGAAGGTGCATGTTGCCAAGGACGTAACATCACCCACACAAAATGAAATAGCAGTTTGAATACTGAATAAAGATAGAGCTGACCCACTACTTGGGGAAATACTTGTGGTCTTCCTGCAATTGATATTTTCTCCCAAGGCACTGAAGAGCTATTTAGTTCTAATCTAGCAGTGGAAGTTATTTAATAGTGACCATATAAATGTAGGTGCTCAACGAATGTAAGTGGGAGAAACATGTGAAAATCCCCTGCCTAATGAACAGCATCAAACTGTTGCTGGGTAATTTAACACATAAGCAGAAATCCAAATCTTTTCACTTAAACATGGAGAAGCTCCAGAAAGTTCCCTGTCAGGCTGTGATGGACCACCACAGATTCAAACTACCAAGGGTCCTGTTATAACCTTATGTTGCTCTGAGATCATTGTTCGAGTCATACATGTGACCTTGACAAAGCCCATGAACTTCCTCTACAATTATCTCCAATCAGTGATTAGAAATGACAAGAGTATAGTGTGAAAAAACGCAGAACCAAACTAATTCCATCCTAGGTCTGTAGCCTAGCCAGTGGGTTGGTGTCAGCAAAAGAAAAGTCATCCCCATGAGGAGAGGACTTGTGTTATCTTATTAGAGTAACTGCCAATTAACTTCAGCTACTTTCCTCAAGGAGTCATGCACGTTTGGCAATTTAGTGTAATGATTTTAGGAAAAAGTAGCATCTTATACACAAACAAATATGGTAAGTATTTCTACACTGAAGGACTGGTCTTGGCTCTGAGGGATGGAGCCCATGGGACTGCTGACTCCAGGGTAGCTGCCCAAGTTAGTCAGGGATGAGCACAGATGGATGAAAATAGCCAGGAAATTCTGGGCTTCAAGTGCTTTGGCCTGTCACAGACCTGAGATGGCATTGGGACAATGAGATCAGTACATATACAAAAGCCAGAAGTCCTTTAGATGAAATTGAACTGTGTTTTGTAACACAGGCAGATGTCCTGGGGCCTTCCAACTCAACATTCTCTATATGCCTGGAATAGGATAATATCTGGAATTTATAGCCCATAGTGAGCAGTGATACTCGGCTGTTAAGGTTGGACTGTTTTGTATCAAATGCCAGTTAGACTTCCACAGCGTCATTTACAGAACACTCGGTAACTAGGTACAGATCCAAAAATGAAAGCTAGAAGAATAATCATGCTCAAAATATTTCTGGTACTTCAAGACTGCCAGAATGCTGAACATGTCATTGCTTCGATTAGCAGTTTCTTTTCATGTGCTTTACAAGAGAAAGAGACAAATGGGGACAATTGATCTGTCTAGCCCAATATTGTCAACTCTGACTGGCAGCAGCTCTCCAGGATCATAGTACCATCCTGTTAGTCATTAGCATGTAAAAATAAATTGGTTTTGTAAGATATAACTGAAAGAGTTTCACAATGAGCTGTTATAAATTAGGCTTGTTTACTGGTTGCTATGCTAATACCAGCATATGCACTGACAGCTCTCTGTTCTCAGTGTTTAGGTTCCCACACAAAAGGATCATTCTATAAATTGATGTCCATTTATCCCAGCCTACAGCAGTCGTGCTGCTGCAGGGTTTTACCCATCTACAGAAGACTAACAACAAGTTCATGAGACTCATTTCAGAAAGGTATGAAAAGTAGACAAATTTATGAGCAAGAATTCCATTCTCTGCTGATATGAAAAAGAAATAACATTAAGTTCTGTGATATACAAGCAAAGATTTTCAGTGAAGCACTGCTGTTAGTGGGTGGCTCTTTGGACAGGGTAAAGGGCCATTTGTCTGCCCTGAAAGGGGTTGCACTCCCCCTGATGGGCAGGGTCCGCAATCTGGGTGTGCTCCTGGACCCCGGTCTCGCCCTGGAGACCCAGGTGGACTCGGTGGCCAGGGGTGCGTTCCTGAAACTGTGGAAACTGTTCCAGCTGCATCCCTACCTGCATGAACGGAGCCTCATAATAGTCACACATACACTGGTAACAATCCGTTTAGATTACTGCAATGTGCTTTACATGGGGCTGCCTTTGAAGACAATACTGCGACTACAACTGATTCAGAATTGAACCATATGACTTTTAAGTGGAGGAGACACGAGAGAACATATTCAGCCGATTCTGGCCAGGTTACACTGGCTACCAGTTGTTGCCTGGGCCCAATT